AGTTAGAAAATGGGTTTTGCCTCACATATTCAACCAACTCGTCGTTTACTAGAGTTGTCTTTCTTGGACGCCCAGAACCCATTACCCTACTCAGGTCACCAGTTTTCACCCACTTTTTGTTTAATTTTTGAATAGCGCTTTTTCTGCAGTTTATTTCATCTGCTATTTGTTGTTGAGACCATCCTTCTCCAATTTTGGCGATAATATAGCCTTTCTCTGCTTCACTTAAAGTATGGTAAGGCATAATTAAATAATGACTTTACTTAATTTAAGATGACGTTACTTAATTTTATAAAATTATTTTTGAAATGCCACTGCTGACAACCATATTTACAACGGGAAAATTAGTCGATTACTTTTTATCGGCCGCAATAGTACATAGATACAAACCAACAAAGTAGCTGCGCGTTGCCAGTTGTAAAAAATTGTTACTAAAAAATTTTCTTGCATAAAATAAATAAATACAAAAGTTTTAAGCCCTTAAAGTTCTAATACCATTCTGTATTTATTTACTCATCCAGATATTAACTTAAGCAATAATAAGAAAAATTAGTAGGTACCTATTTAAAAACTCCATAAAATTAATTTTTTCATCGGTTTTTTTCTTCCTGTTTACTCAGATGAAATTAGGACAAGTTCACAGGTTAATCGTTAAACATTCAATTTGTGTAAATAAACCCAAACGCCCAAAAGCACTTCCCTTAGTTAAGATATTTACAATTTCAGCACATAACCTACAAATTTTTTGACAGAATGTGTTACCAACCAACATAATAAATTAAACCAGATTAGTAAAGTAAATCATTACGAATTATGAATAAAGTTTAAGTCTGGTGCATGGAGCCTACACAAGGAGCCCGAACTTCATGTAAACAAGAATCTTCCTAAGATAAGAGGGCGCTGGTGTACTACCGGTCCAAAACAGTAGAGGGGTATAACCAGAGATGGCGCCACTACCTACCACTTATTGATGTGCAAATAATTGAGGTTATGCAACTGTCAGTTTATCGCTTTCTGAAAACAATGTACCCATTAGGGTGTTTCAAAAAAATCGACTTTTTCTTTTTCTTCAAATGGTCAGCAAATTCTTTTAGAGGATGTCAAAACAAAGATCTTGTTAAAATTTGAGCTTTTAATTTGAAGATTTAGAGGTCGCGGATCGCAATTTTTTATTTCCCATTTAAATAACATAGGAATTTTTTTTTTTTAACTTTGGAATTTTATACGTCTATATCGAATCAACTTATGGCAAGGAACATCTTAGATTTTTATAGTAAATTTAACGCTCTACAAAAAAGGTCTCCTATCATTTTTCTATAAATTAATTCCTTCCAGAGTTATTCGAGGCCAAAGTTTGATTTCCATTGAATTTTCGCGTTTTTTTAACATATATGGTACAATTATCATTATACGGGTGTCCCGAAATTAGGGGAACTTAAATAGTGCATTATTCGTATAAAAATAACACTTTTTTTGTTTAATAAACATGTATCAAAAAATGCTCCCTAAAGGAGCTACGGCACCCTGAATAGGAGCCTAAGAGGATAATTTTTTTAAAACTATTCCTAGAGGGTTGAACATGAACAAATAAATTTTCGGTACTTTGGTAATTTTGACATGCTGAATCTAGATCTACGATCAGAACTGTTAAAATTTAATCATAGGCGTAACATTTGGAGGGGGCAAAGTTACAAAAATAGCCCCAACTTTTTTCTGGGTTAATAATTTAATTTTTTTTATGAAATTATGAGAATTTATAGTTTTTTACGAAAAATAGGTACTCTTGATTTGAATTGCTCAGATGCACCATTTTCGAGAAAAATGCATTTATATATAAATTACTCTGCATATTATACACATCTCATATTTTCATTAAAACTTTGTAGTAGGCTTTGAAAGTGACGTTTTTTTGTTTTTTTACAACACTTCCTATGTTTCAGATATAAATATGAGATTTTTTTACTACATGATGCTAAAAGTTGAAAAAACGAGAAAATTCGATGGAAATCAAACTTTGGCCACGAATAACTCTGGAAGAAATCAATTTATAGAAAAATTATAAGAGATATTTTTTATAAAGCGTTAAATTTACTATAAAAATCTAAGATGTTCCTTGCCATAAGTTGATTCGATATAGACGTATAAAATTCCAAAGTTAAAAAAAAAAATTTCCTATGTTATTTAAATGGGAAATAGAAAATTGCGATCCGCGACCTCTAAATCTTCAAATTAAAAGCTCAAATTTTAACGAGATCTTTGTTTTGACATCCTCTAAAAGAATTTGCTGACCATTTGAAGAAAAAGAAAAAGTCGATTTTTTTGAAACACCCTAGTACCCATGTACCTGGTTTTGTGTATAAAGGTCTTAATTTACAATAAATTTATATCAAATTTAACATTGGAATTCATGTTGGACTTTTTGATGTAGAGCATAGTACAGTTTTTTTATAAATACGTGTTTTTTTCTATAAAAGAATGTCGTGTGATGCTAAATCGTGTAAAACTAACAAAATATTAAATCCATATGGTATTTATTTTTAGTTTTATAGGTAGATTGCTTAAATAAAAGTTCAATATAAACAAATAAAGGTGGAAATTATTAAATATGCTGTTTACTCATTTTATACATACTTTTTTATTTAAATTAAATTTAAATTATTAAATAGCGGTGTATTTCTAACCTGGAAATCTAATTTTGCCTCTCCAGAGTCGTAAAATCACTTCACAGATTATAAAGAATCACTTATATTTCACAACCAAAACCTATTTATTTTGCTTCTCCAGAGTCATAAAATCACTTCACAGATTATAAAGAATCACTTATATTTCACAACCAAAACCTATTTATTAGAATCTACCTACCAGGTACAGCCATAAATAACAAAACGATTCGTACGTCAAAACATTATTGCAAATCAATTGTCAAAATTACTTGCTTACTTCACATGTATTTTTGATACTATTTTCACGTCATACGGACGCATTGACAAACAGCGCCGCTGGTGGTGAAAAAAAAAAGACTTAAATTGTGCAATTTAGTGGACAGGTTTTGTCAATTTTCCCTATTAAGTTCGGGCTCCTTGTGTAGGCTCCATGGTCTGGTGTGTCTAAATTTAAATATATTTTTTATACGTATGTTTTTAAATCGCAATGTTAAAACGATTTTTAAAAAATCATTAGTTTACAAATTTTTACAAGGTCTAATTAGTGATCTAGCGATTTCAGGTTTTATTTTTTTTCAAGTTTTTTCAGGTTTATATTCTTTTATAAATATTTTGAAAGTTTGAAAATTTTATTAGTAATAATAATAAGTAATTAGTGCGAAAGATTTTATGCTATGGCGGGTCGGGCGCTCACAAATATTCAATTAACAAATATGGTTTTGTGTTACGGGGAAGCGATGCAAAATGCTTGTCAAGCAAGAATTTTGTAGGTAGGTAATACCTACTAGGTATATTCAAAATGATCACAACGCAAATCACGGGGTCGAGCTCAGGGGCGTGAATTTGTGGCCCTTGAAGAACAAATTTTGGACGGTGGAAGCAAATCCGAGAATTAGTACAAGACGATTAACTGCCCAACTTGGACAAATGTCCAACTTTGTTACGTGGCGCACGATTCACGAGAATAGTTTGTACCCCTATCACCTACAAAAAGTTCAAGCTCTTCAGGATGGAGATTATGCACTGCGGTTGGAATTTTGCCATTGGTATATACAGAAAAATCAAGAAGATGCTGATTGGAGCCATAGTGTTTTGTATACCGATGAGGCCACATTTACGAGAGACGGGATTTGGGCAGCAACTCAGGAACTTTATTGTAAATAGTCCAGACATTTTTACGCGGGTGCGCGAAAGCATGCTTCGCAGAGTTTAAGCTTGCATTCTAAATAATGAAATCATTTTGAGCATCTCAAATAAGGTAATACATTTTTAATTTTACATTTGGCAACACTGCATTAGAAAGTAATAGGTAAGGTTAATCTGCGGTTCGTAGTCGATCAGTGGCGTACTTTTTGGTAGGATAAAGGTTATTATAAATTATTTTTAGTCTTTGGAATTTAGAAAAAAAAAGTTTCAGGTGCTTCTTTATGGACCCTAAGGAACTACCCATTTTAATATATAACATTAATTACATAACATCCTGTATTCTCTTTGAATTTTACAAAAAAAACTAACTTTTTTGTACAGATATTTATCACAAAAATATTATATTATTTGAATAACAATCGTTTTTATGAGATATAGGTATTTAAAAATAGTTCGAATGAATTTTTCATTTCGTTTGAACTCTTGTAATATATTGCTGCCGAGTTGCCTATAAAAAATTGGCCGAAATTACTACTTAATATTTATTGTTATTAATTTATGTCAATCAATTCCAACTATATAAGCGAGCTTTCATTATTATCAGCGAACCTTATAGCTCAGTTAAAAAGGCGCTTGCTTATCATGCGAGAGGTACCGGGATCGATACCCGGCGCCTGCATCAACTTTTTTTTTTAACGAATGCTTGCTAGAAGCATTCACGTGCTCAATACCTTTTATCAACACATCTTAATACCCAGCGTTTTGTCGCCCAAAGTTTTAATACTTTTCGTTTCATACCTAGGGTTTTGGTATCGTTGCATTTTGATACTTGTTTCTTTACGATTGTTTTGTTTTTAAATTTCGGTGCTTTTTGGTACCAAATTGAAACGTTTCTGAACGTTTTATTACCTACCTCTCGCGTTCCGCTTTTTTAAATAATTGAACACGATACTGGGAGAAACGCAGTTTTGTTTCAATGCTGCAACATGTTTCAGTAGCAAATCCTGGTTAAAATAGAGTATGTGATTGGCAACAAAATGGACTTTCTATTGAGGATTAAAGATGCTTAATGGTCTGTAGTATTAATACAAAAATCTCAACTTTAAGCTTCAATGCGGAGTTTAACTTACAAGATAATATAATAAGTCTTTTTCTTAAACTAAATAAACAAATAAGAAAACTGATTGTTACCTTTTCACTGTGTTTGAATTCCCTAAGCACCCTGTCGTAGTCTTTCTTGGTAACTCGCTCCGGGTAACAGCACGCACTTTTGATAAACATTTGCAGGCTTTTCTCGAGCAGAGCGTCGATCTCGCCATAGTCGTAGTCGTCGTGTCTGATCCCCAACAGGCACTGGATGTAGTTCCAGATGGCGCGACGGAACCGCGACGTGTCTACATCGGTCCTGCCGCCCATCGTGTAATAAGTCAGGTTGTATGCAGTCTTGAATTTTTCGTCCAAAAGGTTACCAACGTCATTGTATAGTCTAAAATCGAGATATACCATTTTTAAAACCATACATTTTTAATATAACAATTTAATAATTTAAAAGTTCAAAATTCTAATTATTGGTTCATTTTATAGAAAAAGTATTAAAACATCATTCTTTATAATTTGTTTGTGCTTTGCTAAAAAAAATCGATATATACATATATTTTTCGATATTAATATATTTTTAAATATATCGGTAAAAAACTTGATATTTTTTATTGACAAATTTTTATTTCACCATTTTTTTTGTAATTTAAGCGTTGTCTTTGTAATTTAAGCTTGTCTTTGAGAACATTAATTTAAAAGAATGGTTACATAGGCGTAGCCTGAATTTTCAGCACGGGGGGCATAGAATCCGGAGCATCACCCCTGGATATAAGGAAAACATGTAATCGTAAAAAACAAGAGCTGAGCTTCCTACAACATTCTTTTTAGTTAATTATTTTTTAAGAAAAATTGAATTGGCTAACAATTGCCAATCATAATTTTTAATCAGGCCTTCCAGGGGGGGCGACTGCCCAACCCTCTACCCTCCCTGATTACTTCCATGAATGTTAACGTCCTGTTTTAAAATACCCAGTAATGGTTTTTATAACATTTACTTATGTACCTACTGTTAAATCATTTTGATACCTAAGTGTATCCGCTTTTTAAATAAATATACAGGGTGTAAGATATAGGTTGGGGACAAATTAAATAGTGGAATCTTTAGTATAAAAATAATATTTTTCTTACATCTACAGGTTTTTGTTATAGTTATAGTAAGTTAAAAAAATAAATAAATAAGTTTTTGTTTTACTAGCATTTGAACAGTAAAATATAAGGAAATTAAATATTGCTTCATTTAGAATTGATCTAGAATCTAGATTTACTTAATTATAGGTCAATTCCATGATACATGATGGGTCAATTCTGGGTTCTCTTGTAAAATTTATGTAAATTCGTAAATCTATAGCTTACGATGATATGTAACCCTAATGCTTATAGAATCGTAAATTGGCAATTCTAGGATCTGTAAAAGTTACTTTAAAGCGGTATAAACGAACTACTGCAACTTCACGCCTATTTACGATCAAACATAATCAATATTTTTATATGTATTCTTTTGTTTATGAGTTATCATCAGTGTTGCCAGTGTTGGTACATTTGTACGTTTTTGGTACATTTGGTGGTACATAAGTAGGTACTACAAGGACTATTTTGGTACATTTTCATGATATTTTAAATTTTGATACATTTTTAATATTTTGCCTATCTGCTTTGATTTCTCTTACTTTGTGGTCATTTCCTAGTATTTCGCTTCCTGTTTTACAATAGCGTTATTAAAACCGCTTATCTATATTCGTTTTATTTTCATATTCGTCTGTTGGCACAACCGCGCTATATTTAATTTTGGATGATAAACGAAAAACCCAAAACGTTTTTGTTTATTGCATTTAAATGAGAGGTACTATGCTCCACACATAAAAGTCCCACCTCGTGACTTTGATAGAAATAATAAAGTTTAATTTTTTGTCAGTGTCAAGCTAATTTCGTCTTATTTTCTAAATATAATAAAATATGTGTATTTTTTGTGTTCTTAGACACAAAAAATACATGTATTGCGTTATATCCAGAAAAAGGACGAAATTAGCTTAACACTGACAAAAAATTAACCTTGATTATTTATATCAAAGTCATGTGGTGGAACTTTGATGTGTGGAGTAAAGTCGAATTTGGTACTTTATTTTTCCAACCAATATAAAATATAATAAATAAATTTTGTAATGGCAAAGCAAGAGAAAGAGAACAAAAAACAAACCTTTATCAGGTTTGGCAGAAAACTTAATAAGCAGAAATGTTGAGCTTTTTGAAAACTATCCAGAAAATTATATAAAGAAGAAACATTCAAATTTATGATTATGATATTTGACCTATTAATTTTTGACTGATTAGAATACCTACCTATTTATTTATTTTGTTGTTTATTACTTTTTTGACTGCGGTTTTTTTAAAGAATATATTTTATTTTATTTTCCTATGTAAAATAAAAAATGTAAAGTTTTTGTATTGTTTTATTTAGTCAAAATTAAAATTATTTCTAATGTAGTTGGCCTAGGCTGCTTGTCCCAATTAATAAATATAACCATATTATGGTTACCATCACAATCCACACAACAAGGTCTGTTCGATCTTGTAGTAAAAAATACTAAAAATCACTGCAACACTGCACATCATACAATGGCGGCCATTTTTGTTGTTTACATTTCTTGTACTTTGGGTTTGTACAGATTAATAATCGTTTTAAACGTTGTGTTTCTTACAGAGAGACTTGCAAGCCTTAAAAGAGACCTCAAAGTGGTAAGAACAATCATTTTACTCCTCTTTTGTAAAAAATAAACCTTGTTCTATCAGGGCTGTCAAATGTCAATTTGAAGGTTAATTTAAGGTTATGTAGTTGCCTGTGGTCTTGACACTTAATTTTGTTTGTTCGTTAATATTTATTTCTGTCTTGTTAATCATTCAAATTAACAACAATAAAAACTGTGATAGTGTAAAGTGGTGTTTTAATACAATTTAACCTCTAAGACCCACAATTGGTGACCCCGAACTGAAAGAACTTTAATAAACATGCCAGAAGAACAAGCAGTAGCAGCATCCACAGATGTAGCACGTGTTTCCGTAAAAATTCCGCCTTTCTGGAGAAAGAACGTAGCCCTTTGGTTTGTGCAAGTTGAGTCACAGTTTTTCACAGCGAATATTACCAGCGATAACACAAAGTATCACTATGTGCTGGCGAGCATAGAAAGTATTATTTTGGAGCAAATCTCAGACTTTGTTTCGCAACCACCACAAACTAACAAATATGAAGGCCTTAAACAGCGACTTATTCACGAGTTTGCAGAGAGTGAAGAAAGGCAACTCAAAAAGCTTTTGAATGAGTTACAACTTGGTGACAAAAAACCTTCCGCACTGTTGAGGGAGATGAGACAGCTTGCCAACAATAAAGTCAACGACGATTTTCTAAAAACTATGTTCCTGCAACACATTCCTGGAAATGCCAGATCCATTCTAGCAGTAAGCACAGACAGTCTCAGCAAAATCGCACAAAATACTAGAAATTTCACCACCTCCGTATGTAGCACCGGTCCAAGCCAAATCAGAAAACCAACAGCTTTCCGACACTATGGAGACACTCTCAAAGCAAATTGAAGCACTTACTGCAGAAGTAAACAAATTAAAATTCAACAGATCCAGGTTCCAAAGTTCAAACAAAGGAGACAAGCAATGTTGGTATCATGCTAAATTTGGTGCTAATGCAAAAAAATGCATCACACCTTGCAGCTACACAGCGGAAAACTAAGTCACTTGTCGAATCAAGCAGCGCTCGATGAGTGCTAATTCAGCTGTCGATTATTTATCACTGATCGCAACTCAGGACTACAATTTCTGGTCGACTCCGGAGCTGATGTCTCAACAATCCCAGCAACTCCTTCTGACAAGAGAAATCTGTCGGAATTCCAACTCTACGCAGCAAATGGAACCATTATCAAAACATATGGAGAAAAATTGTTGGACCTTGATTTGGGTTTGCGAAGACAATTTCGATGGCCATTTGTCATTGCAGACATAAACAAACCAATCATTGGAGCAAATTTCTTAAAGCAATTTAACCTCATGGTTAATATCGCAGGTAAAAAACTTGTTGATACCTGTACTGCACTCTCAGTCCCAGCAAAAGCCTCCAGCAATCAGAACATCCCCAGGGTGTCCACTGTTGATGGCAAACAGCTATTCTCCGAGATACTACTAGAATTTCCAGACTTGGTAAGACCATCGTCAGCAGTCGAAGACCCAAAACATGATGTAACACACCACATCGTTACTCAAGGACCACCTGTAGCGTCCAAACCCCGGCGACTAACCCCTGATAGGTTGTTGGCTGCCAAAAAGGAGTTTCAGTACATGGTCGACATGGGTATTTGCAAACCGTCAAAGAGCAACTGGGTAATTTAACCTCTAAGACCCACAGTTATTTTATAACCCACAAATTAACCTTCAAATTGACATTTGACAGCCCTGATAGAATAAAGTTTATTTTTTACAAAAGAGGAGTAAAATGATTGTTCTTTGAGGTCTCTTTTAAGGCTTGTAAGTCTCTCTGTAAGAAACACAACGTTTAAAACGATTATTAATCTGTACAAACCCAAAGCACAAGAATTGTAAACAACAAAAATGACCGCCATTGTATGATGTGCAGTGTTGCAGTGATTTTTAGTTTTTTTTGTACGAGATCGAACAGACCTTGTTGTGTGGATTGTGGCTACCATAATCAAATACACATTAACATAATAAAAACAATCTGTACGTAGCAACGATTGGCAAACTCCCGATCGTAAATATTTACGATTCTATAAGATATTCTGTAAGCTACATGAAGCGCAAATTGTCTATAAGCTTATAGAAAGTTTCCAGATGTGCGCAGAATTGACCTATAAGCTTCGTATAAAGTTTATAAAATAAAATAAATAAATAAATTAATTGGGAGAAAGTGAGGTTGGATCGGTCTAAAAATTGTTAGATAATAAACAGAGATGTCGCCACCAGTGTTTATTCCGTAATAGGAACAGAAAAAAGTTATTCCACAAGGTACTTAAAATAAAATGTAGTTAATTTTACCACTCGGAAAACTCGATTTTCGTTATATCGTTCGATACGATATATCGAAAAAATAATTTCAATCTACCATCCCTTCCCCTGGCCAAATTATGAGACTCACTCACAAACTTTCTTTAATTTTGGGAATTTGTAAAATAGTTAATATCTTCTCACAAAAATGCATTTTTGAACTACAAAAGTGATTTTATTAATAGAATCGCGTTAAAAACACATTTTAAGGCGATAAAACATTAAATTAAAACACGATAAAATTGAAATTAAAATATTATGTTATAAAATTAATATTTTAATAATAGACTTTTTCGGCTTTAAAACTGGTGTTTGAAATAAATTTTGATTACATATTTAGATACATATTTAACCCAGTGGTAATAAGTTTTATTGCAAACAAGGGTTCTAAAGTCCAAAAAATCGACTCAATAAAATATTAATTTTATAACATAATACAGTGGCGGATTGGTCTAAATACGAATGGGTACATTTCCACGTCACCCGGGAGGTATTATTCTGCGACGCGTTGACCTTTTTTAAAATGGCCGATAGCCCTACTAAACGATTATAAATAAAAAAAATAAACTAAAAAAAACAAAACAAAGAAAATATCAAAACTAAGCAAATTGAAAAACTCGTTTTTTTAAACTTTAAAATATATATCTGGAACATAAAAATATATTTATATGGATGGATAAAAATATACATATAAAACAAATAAAATATCAGAGCAATCGGAATACCCACCCCCTGAACTCCAATTGTGTTTGACGCGGTACAAGGCCAACAGAATAAGCTTTGTTTATAAATACTTCCACATAACCACTTATAGGTTTCGTACCAAGATATTTAAAATGTTTAAATATAGCTAAAATTTTTAAGGTCGGACAACTGCATAATATCTGTCTTTTTCGTTTCTTTACAAAAAGGCGTTTCAATTATTCAGAGAATAACGTCATGAACAGGATTCATTTAAAAAATAATCTGTAAAATTTAACTAAAGAAAACTTGTTAATACAACTTGTTGCTTTTTATTAAAATAAAAACTGCCAAATCTACCTTATCTGTGTAGTGTGTTCCCCAGTGCACCACAATAATAAAATAATAAATTACACTAATCAAAACAACAAATATAAAAGATCAGACAAAATTTTTAAATAATTTAATCTGAATCAATTCCAAATGATCAAAACAAGAACACCTACTCTATACACGCTGGGAAGCACACTAAAATCTCCACCGTTTGACACGGAATCATCTACGGTCATGTGATAAAACCACCAATCAGAACAACCTAAGCTAATATTATTTCACCTCAAAGCAATATAAAAACGCGAACAGTTCGCGGCGAACTTGGCTAATATATTTCGCATTTAAATAGGAGCTTCCGAGGCTCTGAATAATTCGCCTCTGTCCTGCCGACTCTCAACGATGTAGTGGGTTTGAATGCGTAAACTTGACGCGCTTTGCGCCTGGATTTTTATTTACGCTTAGTATAATTGATTGGCTTTTTACTTTTTATTGGGTAGAACTGTTGTAAAAATACACTTGTATTAGGCAAAAAGCTAAATACAAAAGTCGTTAGTTCCTTCATTTTAGGGTGAGGCGCGGCCTCAGAGGCCTACTCTATATGAGCTGCCACTGACATAATATACGTATTTTAGTAATTTTTTTACCATGCAGACTATATACTGACCTGTTTACTAGAGAGTAGCCGTGGTCGTCCCAAGAGTAATCCTGCACTCTGAATGTGGGCACTTCCTTCCTCTCGCCGCGTTTGGCGAAATCCTGATAGATGAACGTGACATCCTCCACGAAACATCCGATGTCGGCGGGCGTTTCGGCCGGTTCGGCACCCACGACGGCCAGCTCCGCCGACTGGGTCTCGATGTTTTCGAAACGTTTCGCCAACTCCACGGGAGTACACTCTTCAGTCTGCTCACTCAACGTTTTCATGCGCTGCACCAGAGTGCTGATGCCCACTTCCGGTTCCGTTGGAGACGGTGGGCTCGGTGGCAAGGTTTTCCAGTCTTAAACAAAAGATTTATCAATAAACAATACGTACCATAAATGCAACCTCCGAGAAAAAAATGCATTTGTAAAATGGACGCTCCTAAACCCCGAATCTACTATTGAGCCCCACGCTGCGTGGGGCCCAGTAGTAGATTCGGAATATCTAATAAGAGTAAAAATTCTATTTCCAATTTTAAGTTACACAGAAAAAAATAAATCTCATAAATTATACATTTTATCTACATTACTATTGTTTAAATTGTTCTTTTATTCTCATAAAAAAATAACCCTTTTTAAAATGTTTATCTACATTGTTTAACATTACTTTTACATGTTAAATACAATTTGTTTTCATTTAAAGTGATTTAACAGGGTTTAGTGTTTACCTTGTCTCGTATCTACTAAAGGTATATCTTTGGGATTACTGCTACTTTTAACGTTGGTCAGCTCTACCAGTCCACCTACTCCCTGCCTATATTCATATCCACCCGCTTGGTCCAGCTCTTGGTTGACGCCGCAAGAAAAAACAAAAGAGCACAACGAATGAAAGTGGGTCAGGATCACGATGGCGTGGACCACTTCCGCCAGGGACCAGCTGTCTTCGCCCTTTGTCAATTTCTGGACGAAAAAAAAATATTATTAATAAGAAAGTTTGTAGCGAGATTTTTTTTTATCAAAATGGTTCATAGGAAAACTTACCTCAATATGAGACTTTTTTAACAGCCAGGGTCGATGAGCTAAAGTTTTATTGATATCGTACAAGTTTCTTAGCTTTTGCGGTATACAGTTCAGGCCCTTTAACCAATTCTGGTCGCCACCTTGCAAAATAAACTCCTGCTTTTGTAATGATATTAAATAACTGCATTGATGCCTTCCGGATGCCTAAAACAATTTTATAAATGAGTTCCTTGGAATCAAAAGCGGACATGTCATACTGCCTTGCTAAGCAAAAAGGTGGGATTGCTTTTATTACTTAATTGATTCTACATAAGTTCTGTAACAGGACTATATATATATATTTTATATATTCTGGTTGTTTTTTTATTATGGAAATATTTCGGTTGTTTCATCATATACAGTTTTTGAATGGCCAATGAATGCATAAATTTTCAATAAATGTGTTTTAAAGGATTATTATTGAACATAGTGTAACCTTGTGTTCTAAATTAAAAATAAGCTAATTTCACTTTTAAATTACGTAAAATACATTTATGCGGTGTATATATAATTTTAATAATTTGTTTACTTAAAAATGTAGATATTAATAGATTAAGGCAATTTTATCATTTTTAACTATATATCCATGAATTTATTGCTTTAAATTAGCTTTAAGTGAGCGTGAACTGTATATTTTACGTAGACTATTTGTTTAGTATGATGATAATAATTATTACTAATTCAAATGAAATTTATAACAATTTAGGCGGATTAAAAAATTGTTATTAAAATATATTTTTTTTATATTTAAAACACTCTTCACAATTTCTGTTTAGATATACTTCGTAAAAAGATATGGGGAGTAAAGTCTAAAATTCCCAAAAAATGTTGGACTCTAGGACCCGCCCACAGAAACTGACTATTTTTAAAGAGGTATAATCATGAGTGCAATGTTGTAAATAAATTAATAATTATTATAAATATGTATTACTTTTTAATAAAAATTTAATTTATATGTAGTGTTTTATTTAAACTATATATGTACTTACAAATATTTAAATGTTAAACAAAATAAATTTAATACTTTTTGAAAAGATACCGCTCGTACGAAATTATTTAATACGGGCCTAGCAGAATACATATCTTTTCTAATACATTCCCTTGCGCCGCTTTTTGGCACACTGGTTTCATGTAAGCGATACTGAACACGGCAAGTCTATTTTGTCTGTGGACCCGCCCCTTGGAAAAATCGGTAATCCGAACGCCTTGAAAGAGAGAAGGGATATTTTGCAACGACGACGGCACACCGCGGTGCACCGTTCAAGTATATTTGATTTTGCATTTGTATGGTGTACCTGTTTCTTAGTGAAATGATGCTCAAACGGTGCACTGCGGTGTGCCGTCGTCGCTGCAAAATATCTCCACTCAAGGCGTTCTAATGCACTATAACTTTACCGTGAAAATACGGTCTAGTATTTAGGTTTATATACGGTCACCGAAAAGTATTTTAGAGAAATTACCATTTTTCGAAATTTTAAAAATTGGACGAGAATTTCGTTAGATAAAATAATTGTTGCAAGGCATATTATTAATATAAAAGCAGGGACACCAATAAAATTGTGTTATGTCACTCAATTTTTAATTTCTGAAAAATATTGGAACTTCTTAAGGCATTCCGTGGGACACCATGTATATGATGATGACCTTTAAACAACATCTGTATACGCGCATAAAATATTGTATATTCTGAATGCAATTAATTAAACATTATTTTGGTTTTGCCTTGTACGGGAGAGAAGCTGTCACATAAAACTCTTTTAAATAGTGTTTTAAACGGCTTCATTTTTTTACGATGGCACCTTCTTTGCCCAGTGATTAATAAGGTCAGTTTCGTTTCGCGCAACCTATATATATATATATATATATGTAATTAATTGAGATATATGCTGTGTGTGTTGTTAAGTTAAATTGGCCGGCAAATTTAAGAATAATATGCTTGTTAATAAACAAAATTTATGTTGGTCGTAAAAGTGCCAATTAGGATTAAACTCATGCAGTGTGTTGTGTCCCCTCGGTCCCTCGTATTTCTCGAAATACGAAACGTTTTAATATAATTTTACGACGGCATGGAATCTCGGGCAACAAAAACCATTAAATTTAAAATTAAAGAAAAATTATATAATATTAGAATAATGACTTGTATATTGACAAAAAATACCAACTTTTTGAAAGCATTACTGTGACAATGAAAAAAAAATGTTTTAGTAAATGGTGCGTTTTCGCACCGTTGGCGCTAAATGGGTTAACCCATTTAGCGCCAACGGTGCGAAAACGCACCATTTACTAAAACATTTTTTTTTCATTGTCACAGTAATGCTTTCAAAAAGTTGGTATTTTTTGTCAATATACAAGTCATTATTCTAATATTATATAATTTTTCTTTAATTTTAAATTTATTTTTTATATTCAAAAACTATTGCTAAATATTCGACATATGCAACGATTTGACGAGGCTTTAGTTTTGGTGTGTTATTTTTATTGATAAATTACTTTTGGTGCAAAATTCATTCAATACTAATTGCTTTTGGACTAACGATTAGTAAATGAGGATAAACATATCAATAAAAATAATTCGTACCGCCAAAAGCCTTCTTCAAAAATAATGGTTCGAAAACGAACCGTTGGCAGCTATGGCTTATTTGATTGGTTCACGTCGCGTTCGGTTCGGTCCGGTCCGGTCCGGTTCGAAAACAGACACCTTATTTCACACTTGTCAGCGGTTTTTTGAGTATTTGATTGTGCGTTTAGTTTGTATCCAGTGTTGTAATAGTGTTTTTAAAAATATGTCGAAGTTGGTAAATAATCCGAAAAGGGCTCTAACGTTATTGGAGTTAGAAGCCGAGCTTGAAAGTCTAAGTGATGACGAGGTCCCAAATGTGGCATAATACCACCAGACTGCGACGAATTAACAGACGAAGAATTTATTGATGATGACGTCATAACATATTCATTATTTTTGTATTGTTTTTGATTACTATAGTAATGATCGCACGATATATCGTGCGATCATTTAGGTGACCATGATATTCGAGAAATTGCCGGTACTTTTGAGGTTTCTACCAAAGACACGGACATCACAGAAGATTTGGAGCCGTCAACGCTTGCGTCAACGAGTAAATCGTGTAAAAAGGTTAGACCTTGTTCTTCAAAGTGGAAGAAAAAACTCATCCAACATTTTCATCATCACCGCAATCATGTGAAATTGAAATGTCTCTAAAAATTGAGAATTCTCTGGCCTGAAAAACTCCCTACGAATGCTTTCAGCTTTTCTTTGATGATGAAGTTTACAATCTTATTAGAGACTTTTCCCTAAAATACGCCCGTGATAATAATCGTCATGATTTTTTTTGACTAATGCAGCTTTGAAAAGGTTCCTAGGTATACTTATTCTAACAGGATATCATACCTTGCCTCAAATAGATATGTATTGGAGCAAGGACAATGATAAAGAAGTCACATTCGTTAGGCAATGCATGAGTAGAAATAAATTTCGTCTTATCAAAAGAAACATTCACGTCAGTGATAATGCTTTGCTTGACAAATCAGATAAATTTGCCAAACTACGCCCTTTTTTCGACATGATGAATAAGAAATTTATGCATTTTGGTGTTTTTTCAAAAAAACTGTCAATCGACGAACAAATGGTACCCTATTTTGGAAGGCATTCAGCAAAAATGTTTATAAAGGTTAAACCTGTTCGTTTTGGGTATAAGTTGTGGTGCCTTGCTTCGTCTGATGGGTATTTGTTTCAGTTTATCCCTTACGGTGGTGCTAGCATTGCAAAATCAGATCTCGGCCTAGGAGCTGACGATATTCTAAAATTAGTAAGTGTCGTAGAAAATCCCGGCAATCATAGGCTTTTTTTTGACAATTTTTTTTCTTCGTATAAGCTGTTCAACATCTTGAAGGAAAGGAAAATTTACGCAACTGGAACTATACGAGAAAATCGAATCGAAAAGTGTCCCCTAGAGGCTAGTAAACTACTTGCTAAAAAAGAGAGGGGATCATACGATTTTGTATTTGATCAAAGGCTGAAGTGTCTATAGTTAGGTGGAATGATAACTCAGTGGTAACAGTTATCTCCAATAACTGTCCTGTCAAACCCTTAGGCTATACAAAAAGATACGACCGTAAACATCACAAAGAAGTAAATATACCTCAGCCAAGTTCATTTACATACTAAATGTTTTAAAAGTTTTCATAAATAATTAATATAATTATATTATAATTATTATAATAAGATCATATTGATACCTTATTTTTATACCTCATTATCGCCAACGGTTCGAAAACGAACCATTTTTTTTTGACACCTGTCAATGCAAAAAAAAAATTATATATATATTTTTTGTAATATTTAGATGTATTTTAGCTTTTTCAATAAAAAAAAAATCAAATTAATTTACTATTTCTCTGCTTGGCCCCTAATGGGTTAATTGTCATCACAATTTCGAGCCAATTGAAAAATAATGTATCCGGAGCATTAATTGTTTTAAATTATTGCTAGTAGTGAGTCCAGAGTTTTAATAGGAAAAACTATTTTATTAGTAGGTTTAAAAGAAAAAGTCATTCTTTAAAAAACGGGTGCTTGTCTTAAAAATCCAATTTCGAATACCACATTTGCAAATGGGGCATTCCACGGTACTCGGTAATTTTTGTCCCACTCGTCACAATTTAAAAATGTTATTAAAAGTTATTGAATTAATATTTTATTATATTATTTTTATTGTGCTTATAAGCTTATTACAAGCATAATAAACAATATTTAAAAATAATTTTTATAACGTGTAGTTTTTACTCACAATTTTGTGACGGGCGCACAGTGTTTCTATTCTCGAAATTTTCGGCAAAATATCAAGGAGTAGTCGGATCTTCCTAAAAATCTGCATATAAAATTCAAAATGGTAGATACAAAATGGCGGACATATTTGTCAAAAAATTTACGGAATAAATTGAAAATCACCATACAGGGGTTTTTGGGGTCGCTGATAACGAATCTGGAATCATAATTCCAAAATTCAAAATGGTTGACCTCAAATGGCGGACATTTTTATCAAAAAATTGTCGAAAAGCCGTAAGAGGTTCTTTTTAAAATGTAAATAAAACACCTTTTTATAAAATAGCTTAATTAAGTTTATTATAATTTCATTTATATGATATTATTTAATACCTACATATATATTAAACAATCTCCGTCACTGGATTCGCTAAAAAAATTGTCAACACAAATAACCACAATTCAAATTTGACATTAACACACTACAATGCGCATGCGAAGTTGTTTTAACGCACCTAAAATAGGTGGGTTAAATATGTAAAATCGGTGTTAAATATCTTAGTAGTCACGAACGATTTACGCAAGTGAAAGTCTAGACACCGCTGTTGTAATAAACGTTTTGAGATAAATCCGAGTGAATCGAGTAAACGTCATGAATGCAACCCAGAAATAAAAAAAATCTTATATTTTGTAAAGCAAAAACACAGATACGAGCGCGACATAGGCTTAAAATCGCGAGGTTTTTTACCACAACCGTGCCTGAGCGCCCAAGAACATGTAGTTTTAAAGAGCCGGGAGGGCGAGTTGGGGCAGATAATTTATTGATGGCTTGATAGACAAAACTCTAAGCTATTGAACGGATTTTGAACTGATGCCTTACAATTCATTACAATTATTCTAGCTCCATTGTTCTAAAAGCTCGATTCAAAGTTTGCGATTTTAACAGACCGATCTTGTCTGTTACAATAACCCGTTGTACAAGCAAAATCTACGAAAAACAAATACATATCTGAATTTTACATACCTTGAAGATCACCCTTCATCAAACCGCATAACAATCGGACACACCAAACACAAGTTATTCACTTTTAAACAATAAACAATTTTCCGCAGCGATCGCGTGTAAAGTAGTGATGGGTCGTGATTTTGGTAACGTGATTTTGGAACGTTATTTTTAAATCACGTTCCGGAACGTTCCTAAATATATCGGAACTATGTGACAGCGGAACGAACTGAATAGAAACAGAGAATCCGACCATCGAATGAGTGAACGGAGCGAGTGGGAAGAGAACGACGTGAAACATGGAACAGAACGAACGTCGCTAATGTCGGAACTGTTTAAAGGCGCAGTTACCTCGTTTCGAAACGTTTCTTGTTCGGCATGCCGGGACGTTTCTCCCAGCAACGCGTTGCAACGTCGTGTCGTACTCGCATGTATTGTGAAATCATTTACCCTACGTTCCGAAATCACGTGATTTTGGTACGTGATTTTTTAGGAACGGAACGGTCTGGTACGTTCCGGATTGGGAACCGTTTTTTCCATCACTAGTGTAAAGTACCTTCAACTGAAAGCGTCAAGTTTAAACTGATGTACAAGACAAAATGTACGTATTTTATATATATTTTTTTGAATACAGGATGGAGACAGGTATTAACTACCCATCTAACTCAAACTTTACCTGAAAAAAAAAGTCAATTATTGAGGTTTTGCCGATATTTTCGAGAATTGAAACACTGTGGGGCGGGACAAAAATCCCCGAGTATCGTGGAATGATCCAAATGCAACACAGTATAGAATAGGTACTGGCTGAATAAATGTTTTATTTTTAGTAATTAATTCGATTACGCATATATGCATATATGATTTTATAAAAATATTATGTATAATTTAAATAAACCCTATTCTTATTTGAAATAAACCTCATTAAACCAAATATGCTGCATGTTGATAAATAATAAAAAAATAGGGATTTTTATTTCACACTCTTGGCAAACCTTTTATTTTTTTTGTCAACGCTGTGTTAAAAACTCGTTTTTCTGGTTTTGTTTAGCAAAATTATATAATAAAATGTAAATAAAATGATTACAAGAAAAAAGGGATGGAAACTATCACTAAAAATTTCTACTGATAACTATCAGTAAATATCAATAACTTCTTACACCACCTCTTCGAAGCGGGACATTATCATTCAATTATGGTAAGGAAAATTGCAAAGTAGTTTGTTTTTTTCTTGGATAACTTTTTTTTAACTGCATGTTTTAACGCCAGAAAACAACACTGTTTAAAAAAGCGACAAAATCCCTCGTTTAGGAATAAAGCAATATAAAAAGTTTCTAGATTCTGGTAGAATTTTTACTGTATAAACCTTATTAATAAGTTATAATTAAGGTTAGAAAAACTCGGAGATACCGAAAAAATACAACATAACTAGATGTACCTATCTGGGAAGTTTTAAAGTTAGATAGATGGAGTTAGTTATTATCTAGCTCCATCTATGAGGCAACTTAAAATACTTTATCGGTAAGAAATTTAATTTTCCGAAGAAAAAATTGGTTAATATGCATTTTTTTGTTTTCTGACAAAGTAAGGTTTTTACAGTTATCTTGACAATTTCTTCCAGTAGAAATATTACTATCAGTAACAGTCTCGTCCTAACACCGGAAGTGGTAGGGTCGTTGGCGAGAGCCCTCCTAAGCAGTGTAAACGATACAAACGCAAATACCAAAAATGAATCTAAGAACCGGCAAGTTATCGGAGGCAAGTGAATCAAAATCGGTAAAACGGAAAACAAAAAATAAAAATTAAATAAACAAGAAAAGAAATAATAATAAGTTTGATAAGTGCGGGTGGCCCCCGGTTAAGTCACAAAGTGCTACAGCGTCGTAAAAGTTTGCTACCTGACCACCTGATTACCTGTATAGTCACCACAATCGGCGATTGCCAAGGAACACGGACTGTCCGCTAGGGATAGGAAAACAGAATCCAATTAGTCCAGCTAAGTAATTTTCCTAATTGCATGACCTAATAACAGTACCAATTCGATTGTAATCTATAAACTAATCGTTAAATACTTATATACGCAAACTTCGCAATGTTGCCAAAAATGTCATCTGGCTGCAGAAAACAAACAGGTCCCTACACTGAGAAAAGTAAACTATTTCAAGTTTTAGTTATTAACTGAACAGTTTTTGGCACATTCAATACGACGAATGCGCATAATTGTTTATTTAAAAGTCTCGAAATGTTACATACAGTCTTTACATTAAACTCGTGCAGTTTTTGAATATAAATTTTTATTACTACAAAAATGTACAAAGATTTCAATTAATGCAGTTCAGACAGCAAATTAATGAAACATCTCTAATAAGCACTCTTGTATAACAACCTCTGATTGTTTGTCTAAGATTTCTTTTTATTTGTTTCAAAACCTAATTTTTAATAAAAATATAATAACATTTCCGTAAGTGTTAAACTAACAACCTCATTTTTCTCAGTGTAGACAACCCATAAACAACTTAACCAAATAGAAAAAGGCGTAAGAGTAAGAAATACACAAGGACAGGTTCTAGCAGCGTACTAACACTTCTACCCCCATTCATGAATCCCTATTGAATGGGGTTAAGGAGGATTCCGGATTGTACTTAGTTTTGGCTCAGTTCAATATCCTCCAAAAACCAACTTTTAGCCTCCTTGTCCCGCTCTCCACTTGCCTAAACTGGGCGTATGGCCCGACCCGGCGACAAAAATCCGGGAGTGGCCTTACCCATAGACACTGTCATCCACGACCTCTATCAGCCGGCGTAAAAATTTCAGATCCAACAAACACAGGTAATGCTGTGCAGTGGCCTGATACGGAGAACGGAAAGGGTGTAAAATAACCCTGGGAGATTAGTGTAAGGTAATGTCGATGGGGCTTGCCATACGTCCCCAAACTCATACTCATAGAATATTTGTCCTTACTGATAGCTATCAGTAATTACTGATAGTTTCCCCATCCCTACAAGAAAATGTAAACTGTGTCTAGCTCTTAGAAGCATCGAAATAGACAAAAAAAAAGACGTTTCATTTTGACTGACATTACATATTTAATTTTGACATAACGATTCACGTCAATTGTTCTAACCATGGAGCCTACACAAGGAGCCCGAACTTAATAGGGGAAATTGAAAAAACCTGCCCTCTAAATTGCACAAATCCAGTCTTTTTTTACCACCAGTGGCGCTGATTGTCGATGCGTACTGACATCTGGTCTTTTGGTAGCGTTTCAGTACAAATTAGTCAATTGTTTCAGAACAAACTGAACACCAGCGCCCACTTATCTTAGGAAGATTCTTGTTTACATGAAGTTCGGACTTCTTGTGTAGGCTCCATGTTTTTTTTTTTGAAAATTATTTAATTTTATTGATAAATTATGGTCAAAATAGACAAAATATGAAAATCTCATGTTAGAATGACTTATTGTGCTACTCGTACTATTGCCGCCCTCCGAAAAATAACTCGGTATCACAACTGAACCGGTGAGAATAAGAACAAGTCCAAAAATTTAATTTTGACAAGTCATTTTTTAAAATCAATTTTAAAGTTCAAAATACATTTTTGTGAGAAGATATCAATCATTTTACAGAATATGAACATATTTTATAAAATACTTAAAATATTCCTACAAAAATGATTTTAGAACTTTAAAACTGATTTTTTGAAATGTTTTGTCAAAATTTTGACTTTTGGATTTGTACTGTTCTTATTCTCACCGGTTCAATTATAAGGGATAAGGGATTTGTTTAAAAATTGCTTACCATAATTGCTATATAATGCCTATAGTTAAACGGAAGAGGACCATCGCCTTTGAGGATGAAATTTTGAGTTTTAAGAAAGTGTTCCAAATAGGAATGGTGATAGCCCATCACTTGGCTCACATGATCCAGTCTGTTGTTTTGAAGGAAGGCATCCACAAATAAAGTGTGCGTCTGTAACAAAATAAATATTATTATTTTCAAGCCTAGGTTTACTATTTTCAATTATACACTGAGAAAAAAGTTTATTGCTCCCAAATAAAAAAATATTTAAATATGGGACAAGGGTACAGTTTATTTATCCTAAATATATTTTTATTCCCGACACAAAGAGTTTTACTAAAGTATATTTATCGTTATTATTTCACCTATTTAGAGGTAATAAACAATATATTCACTATTAATAAAAGTATTAGCTACACAGTTTATTTGTCCCATTTTTTTCTCAGTGTAGTAGCTCGTTAATTTGCAATGTTGTTAAAACTATTAAAAACATTTATTTTTACTTGTACTTTTATACCCCATAAAAACACTTGTTTTCAAATACATTTTTACTTACTTAAATTGCCTACGACTTTAAACATCATTTTATTGTAAAGTAGGTACTAAAAAATTTCCTATTACATAAAATAACGTACTTAAAAAAATTATCACTATTATTTAATCTTAAGACATGATTTATTGTAAATTAACGTAAAATATATACTAAATACACTATACGTGAATAAGTGGAATAACCTTTTAGTTTATCATCTTAGTTGACTAAATTATTTCTATTATGTATGTTTTGTATTTGTTATAAGGTAATATAATAAAATTAAAAATAAATTTAAATCACGTAAAACTCAATATTTATCTATAATAGGGTTCGGTGACTTCAGCTCTTTAAAACTTTATTTATACAGGGTGTTTCACATTCGTGGTCAATTAGAAGTTTCTGGGGAACGGAAAAAGATATCGATTTAAAATTTTAAAAGCGTTTATAATCCATTTAAGACTATTTTTCTAAAATATTTTGAACAAAATACCACTTCCGGTTTAAGCGGACATTTTTTCAAATACATAGAACCCACAGACCTACCTGTTTGTAGGTCTGTGATAGAACCCCATATATTTTTACATTTTTAAATTCCACATAAAAGTCTGAGTAAAATTACTATACCCTATGGAACGCCGTTTTACTATTTAATAACATAGCGCAAATTGTTATGTTAAATAGTAAAACAGCGCGCGCCAATTTGATATTTATTTTATCTTTAATAGTTATCAAACTTGCAATTGTGCTGTATGGAAAAAAGTAAAGCTTTTATAGAGAAACGTTATATATTATACATAGTTTTGGCAAATATCGTTTATTGCAAAAACTCAAAGAGTTTTGGCAATTATCGTATATTGTAAAAAATGAAGAGTTGTATGTAGCTATTCACATTAAAAGGTGTCACTAATACTTTTGTAGACTTGCAGGTTATCGTATAAATAGTTATTGCAACACTCGTGTGTTGAAAAACCTTATTAATTAAAAGAATATAAAAGTTAAAATACTTTTTGCAATTGTCATAGATTGCAAAAACTCACTTTGTAATTGTTAAGGTTTATGCGATTGTGCTTTATAAGAAAAAGTAAAGCTTTTATGGAGAAAAGTTAAATATTATACATAGTTTTGGCAATTATCATATATTGCAAAAACTCAAAGAGTTTTGGCAATTAGCGTATGTTGCGGAAACCCAAAGAGTTGTATTTACATTAAAAGACGTCACTAATAGTTTTGGAGACTTGCAGATATTGTATAAATACTTATTGCAACACTTGAATGTTGAAAAAACTTAAACTTTACTTAAAATACAAGTATTGCATTCGACTTTTGACAATATACGAATATTGTAAAAAGTATGGCAGACCTGTCTAGGGGAAACAAAAAACACTAGATTTAAGGATTTTAAGGTGTTGTCTCTGGTAAGACGGTGCAGTGCGCGGCAGGTTAGCCAACCGTTGGCGGGAATATGTGTTGTTCTATGGTTGGTTCCTAATCTATAATACCTAAGTGCTCATTTATAATGGACGTAACCATAAGATGCCCGTAAGAAATACGTAAAACGTAAAGTTGAATATTAACAAAACCAGTGTGCCTGTTTATAATGAATAGCCGTAACTTTTACGTTTTACGTTCGAACATAAGATCTTATGGGTGACCGTAAAAAATACGTAAAGTTGAAATCATCTCAACTTTACGGGTTTCTTATGTGTGAATTTTTGTAACTTTCATGATTTCACTAGAACATTGTTGGTAGCAATCAGGGTAGTAGCCATGCAAACAGATGACAGATCTTTTTTAACATACCTTTTCTGGGAATTAAAGTAACTATGGGTTTAATATAAACTCGGGGATCAAAATGAATTGAAAAAAGCGAATTTAGTTAACTCCAAATTTAACTCGGGGTTTGAAGTTAAACCTCGGATTAAATCACATTGAAGAACTGGCCCTAAGTGTATTCTGGACCAGATTCTCTGAAAAATTCTGTGGATACACCAGAATTTCTGGTGTATCCACAGAATTTTTCAGAGAATCAAACGTATCCCTACTTATTGCAGTTCGTATTCTTAACAAATTTCTTTTAGTCTCTAAAATTATCCCTTTAGCGTTAACAAATTCTTCATTTTCAATTAAACATTTTGATTCCAATACTTTTCGTTCAAGCATGTTTAGTACGTTATTAAGGTTTCTTCTGTCCATTTTCTTACAAAACCCAGTATCTATCTTCAAAAATCTCTTGCTTTTATTTATTATAATTAAAACTTTCCAAAACACAGCAAACTGTTAATTATTATAGGTTAGGAACCAACCATAGAACAACACATATTCCCGCCAACGGTTGGCCAACCTGCCGCGCACTGCACCGTCTTACCCTTAGAAGAAAAAACAAGGTCTTACCAGAGACCACAATCCACATCCTGGATTGTGCCAGAGACAACACCTTAACATCCTTAAATCTAGTGTTTTTTGTTTCCCCTAGACAGGTCTGCCATACTTTTTACAACATTCGTATATTGTCAAAAGTCGAATGCAATACTTGTATTTTAAGTAAAGTTTAAGTTTTTTCAACATTCAAGTGTTGCAATAAGTATTTATACAATATCTGCAAGTCTCCAAAACTATTAGTGACGTCTTTTAATGTAAATACAACTCTTTGGGTTTCTGCAACATACGATAATTGCCAAAACTCTTTGAGTTTTTGCAATATATGATAATTGCCAAAACTTTGTATAATATTTAACTTTTCTCCATAAAAGTTTTACTTTTTCCCATAAAGCACAATCGCATAAACCTTAACAATTACAAAGTGAGTTTTTGCAATCTATGACAATTGCAAAAAGTATTTTAACTTTTATATTCTTTTAATTAATAAGGTTTTTCAACACACGAGTGTTGCAATAACTATTTATACAATAACCTGCAAGTATACAAAAGTATTAGTGACACCTTTTAATGTGAATAGCTACATACAACTCTTAGACTTTTTACAATATACGATAATTGTCAAAACTTAGAGTTTTTGCAATATATGATAATTGCCAAAACTATGTATAATATTTAACTTTTCTCTATACAAGCTTTACTTTTTTCCATATAGCACAATTGCATGTCATTAAATAGCAAAACGGCGTTCCATAATACCCCGTCCTATAGTAAATAGTTTTTGAGTTATTATTTTCTTTCGACTATTTCCCTCGTCCTAATTTCGACCAATCACAAACGCGCAATTTTGAATTACAAATGGTTTCTAGGTGGAAAAACTGTATGACAGCACCTGTCAGCAGTTTATTCGAGTTTACCCGCGGCAAAACTTGACAGCTGTTGTCAACAAAAATTGCAATTTATATTTTAATTGTTTAGTGTTACTCGTGAAATAGTCTTGTCAAATATCATTCGGGCCTCTAATTTTTCCTGTGAAAAAAATCGAAAAAACACAATGCTAAGTAATATTTTTTAACAAAATGCATTCGTGCAGGTGCAAAAATCCTCCTCTTCGACTCGGATTTTTGTTGCCACCAGCACTCATGCTTTTTGTTAAAATATTACTTAGCAACGTGTTTTTTCGATTTTTTTCGGAAAAACTAAATGCCCTTATGGTATTACTTACGACTATTTCCCTCGTCTTAATTTCAACCAATCACAAACGCGCAATTATGAATTACAAATGGTTTCTAGGTAAAAAAAATTGTGTGACAGCACCTGTCAGCAGTTTATTCGAGTTTACCCGCGGCAAAACATGACAGCTGTTGTCACCAAAAATTGCAATTTATATTTTAATTGTTAACTGTTACTTATGAAATAGTCTTGTCAAATACCATTCGGGCATCTAATTTTTCCTGTGAAAAAAATCGAAAAAACACAATGCTAAGTAATATTTTTTAACAAAAAGCATTCGTGCAGGTGCAATTTTCGATTCTTTTCGGAAAAATTAAATGCCCTTATGATATTACTTACGATAAAATTTGACAAATGCGCGTCAATTAAAAAAAACCTATAACTTTTTTGTTATTAGGAATCTTAAGACACTAGATTTCCTTGCGGCGCAATTTTTGTACGCCCCAGCCCAACCCGATTTTTTGGTAACACACCTATAGCAATCAATTTATTGTTTACAGCGTATAAAAAATTCTTACACCCAATTTATTTCCAGAGCACCACTTACAATTACGTCTTTACGTTATGTATAGCATTTTTACTAGTGGGTAGGTAAAGCTAGTGCTGGGCAATTTTTTAGTTTCATGTTGGTTTTTACGCAGTTCAAAGTCAACCCTCGAATGCAAAGTTTGCATTACCAAGACAATTTCCATCGGCATGGCTAAAAAACTGCCCATAAAAATTGCATTTACATATTCGAGTGGGGACCATGAACGTCCCAAATTTATGGGATAGAATCAAATAAAATTGGTGTGTTCAAATTAATACTTTCCCTCTAAAATGGAAAACCCTCATCTTAAAAAACTGGTTTTCCATTATGATTGCATAACATTCTACCGTTATAATATAAGCATTATTATTTTTGTTAATTTATGTTTTAAATTAGTCATTGAAGATAAAACATTGTATGCCATTCGGCAAAAAAGTGTCTTTTTGTACTTTCTCAAACATTGAGCTCAGCCTTAAATATTTCGTTCCACTTCATGAATTCA